TAACTTTAAGTTTTTTTGAATTCTAGCGCTAGCTACATTTTTTTTAATCTTTAATTTTACTCTTTATGGCTATTCTACAAACTACTTGATGCGCCACCACAGAAAAATGGTTAGCTGTTTTAAAAAACTTGAAAAATTCTGCTTATATGTGTAAAATATGTAACAATATCCTATTAAGAACCCTTATATTTTGTACCAAATACATTATTTTTTATTATTATTTACATAGTATTTTTTACTAAATACATTTTAGGGCTTTTTACACTTAGAGCGGTTTGGCACCATATTGTTAGATAGCCCTATATTTTTGTAATTTTTATAATACGAGCTTTCTCATAAAATAAATTCATTTTAGGCACATATTTTTGTCTATAAAAATAAAATTTGTTATGCTATGACAACTAATAGTATTAAAAAAAAAACACTGCTATTTTATTAAAATATTAAGTAATCTATTAAACATTAGGTGTTTGTTAAATATAATAATATAAAACATATAGATTGAATATTAAAACAACAACAGAATGTTATACTTTTTGAGCTCAACAAAAATAAATAATTGAAAAATCACTTTATTATTTAAGTATAGTTTAGAAGCTCCATCATGTCTTTCTTGCTCCTATTAGCAGACATCAACTCTCTGCTAATGAATTGGGCTCTTATGTAAGTTTCTCTTTTTTCTAATGTGTAGATATGTCCTGCAGCTTCTGTGACAAGCTGTACACACCTCTCAACTGATTGTGTATGTGAACTCCATTGGGTAACAACCATCGGGTTATTAAATTAATCTTTAATATCGGAAGATTTAAAATTGCATGTCAAAGGTGGTTCTGTTATATTATTGCCCCAGTCTATCAAACTAGAAAGATTTTTAGCATTAATGTTAATATCAGGTGTTCTTCGATGTCTATGGCTATAAACACTAGTATTAGTTTGCTCCTGATATTTTTTACAAAGCTTAAGAATAATTTCCACAGCTTGAACTCTTACTACTTTACTCTCACTGCATATGATAGCTTTTAAACCAGCTTCTGAACGCGCACACCAAGCTGATCTTTTAATTGTGGGCATTAAAATATCAAGAACTGATTTCCTCTGGCTTCTGAGGAGTTCTAATTGTTATAAAACGTGTCTTCAACCCAACCTGATTTAACTTTTATGTTAAGCCAGTTTGGAATATAAACACCAACAATAAATTCGACAATCCGGGTAAAATTTTGAGGATTGGTACCATATAGGCCATGCCCTAATCCTAAATCCTAAATTTTATTATCATGCCCTAATCCTAAATCCATACCCTACAAATTCTTAACGCTGTTGTGAACCACCTGCTATGGCAAACAGGTCCTATTTCTAGCATTGCTAACTTCTGAGGTAAATCACCAGACATTATTACTTTTGTTATTCTGTTAGCATAGCTCTGATCAGAACTTAAACCTTTTATTACTTCAGGACTAAGAAAAATTAATGCTGGCCCAACATCAATTTTTGTAAATCTGGGATTAATTTCAAGACTTGTTGCTGTATTTAACATCTTTCCCAGTAGTCTTGACCACTTATTTTCATATTTTGTTGGGCCATCTAAGCTTATAATTAAATGTCTTAACCCTAACTCTTTTGTGTGAAGATCGCACACAATCCATACTAATTTCTTTCTCAATTTTCTTTCCACCCATTGCATCACACCACTTTCCCAACCAGTATTTAATTTTGTACTGTGTCCTCGTATAGCTTTTAGTTGTATACCTAAATTTCTTTCCACCAACCACTTAACCAAGTGGTCTGCAACTACCTCAGCATTTTTTCTGTAATCAGCCTTATCAGGAACAAAATGAATTAGATATCTACCACTTGATTCAGTAACTACAGAATAATGTTCTTCCTAAGAAGACAAGGGAAATATCTACCATCAAATTCTGTTAATACTTTTGTATTATCTTTCCTGCCATCAAAAAAAAAAAAAAAAATACATGAAACCACATTATTTTCAAGATTTTTACAAAGTTTATTATCTAATTCGATTGCTAACTTCTCTTGCACCCTTTTAATCTTGCTGTGATCAATAATAATCGATGTATCATTCTTTGTTATAACTTTTGCATCTATAAATGCTGCTGTCGCTACTTCTGCGGTTTCTCATAAGCTAGTGTAATGCCTCATACTAGCAAGTGCAATGTTTTTTATGTCCATTCTGTTATAAACTTTTACAATATTATTGAAAGGTTCTGGTTCTCAAGAAATATTTTGTTCTGAGTTAACTTTGTTTGTTTTTTCAACCTTAAAAAAATATTAATACAAGAATTAAACTTTTTTTATTATCATTAAGTTAATGGTTTATAAAAAATCTAAAAAATTAAAAAAAAGATATTGAGTTATTTTTATAAATCACTAAATCAATATTTAGTTTCTCCAAAAATAGTTATGTTTGAATTATTTACCAACAAATATATTTTATTATTACTTGATTAATCTGTGCAAAGCAGTTATAATATTCTAAAATCATTTGGTTGAGTTTTTCTTCATTTTTAAATTTTTTAACTCTCATTTTTAATTGCTGCTGATACTCCTCTTTTCTCTTTACAACTTGTTTTATTTTTGTTGATTCTATTGTGTCAACTCCACCAATATAGTAATGGGAAAAATTTCCAACTTTGTATCACTGTAACTTGATAAAGTTGAGTTCTATAACAGGAGTTTTATTTTGACGTACACATATAACACATACACAGGACCGGCTTTTAGGAGGAAGGGGGGGGGGTGAGTTCGTACTCCGCACGAGGGCGGCTAGTAAGTAGGGGCAGAAAATTTTATTAGTTATATGTTTTAATTTTCTAATAGTAAATTAAAAATGTAAGATTAAACGCCTGATCTTTGCAAAAATAAAAAAAATAAAAAACGCGATTTTAAAGTTGAACGATTTTTAAACAAAATTTTTGATTTTTGAACAAAAATTACTTAAAAAGTATAACTAATGGATTTCTATTGTATTTTATAGTATCATTTGTGCGTTATTTCTCCTAGGAGTTATTTTGAAAAGTTAAACGTTTTTTTTTATAAAAAAGTTCAAGAGTTCATACTTTTTATTATTAAATGCTAAATTGACTCGATTTTATAAATCAATAAGTTTTGTTTTGTTTTATCTTTTTTAAGAATTTTATCAATGTTTCTTGAGAACTTTTTTTATTTAATTTTTTCAATTACAGAAATAATTTTATCTTACGAATAAAAAATAATCTGTCTCATGTCACATAATATTTCAAATTCGAGAAAAAAGTTGTCTGGGTATGAGAACAGAAAAGAAAATCCAAAAAAGGTCAAAAACTTAAAAAAATTAAAAAATTCATGAGCATTGATGCTTATAAAAAACCTGACAAAGGTCGTGAAGATTTCAACTCTGATGCTTCAACTATCTCTACGACTATGTCCAATAAAGTTGGAAAACCTTCAACAATACTCAAAAATAATTGTATAACTTTATTGGATATCAAAGTAGAAAATGAACCAGTTATTTTAAAAGAATCAAATGATTTATCGTCAGAAGATTTTGTAGAAGAAACATCTGATTTATTGGATTGTGGAAAGTGGCCAATTGTTCGATCTAGCAACAGTGTGGACCATTTAACTAAACATGGTCCTTTTCAAATTACAAAGTAAAAATACCCTGAAGATTTTTTTTTGTTCTTTTTACAATATATTATGGTATTATTATCGTTGTAAATTAAATATCAGAACACTGAGCCTCAAAGAGGATTGTAAGACCTTGTCACTGAGAACCGTTTAACAATGCTGTGAAAATATAACCAGTTAAATAATTACAATAACTGACGTTTAGAAATAAAATTTCAATCTAACCAGATATTTCAAAACATAAAGCAACGTTTAGCAACATAAAGAATATATAAAAACTGAATATTTCAAAATAAAACAATATATTTAGGAATCACACACTTTTTAAGAAGGTATAAACTCAAAAGAATCAAAGATATTATCAATTGACAAGATAACTTTTTTCAGCTTATTTTTAAAAGTAAGAAAACTCCAACTTTTAGAAAAATCCAAATTTTTCAAAACTATTTTGTTCTACAGAAGAGGGGTTAGGGGTTAGGTTTATCTTACATTTGTACGTAAATAAAAGAAAATTAAAAACATTTTACTGGTATATATTAAGAATATTCATTTTTAATAAAAGAGGTCTGGCATTAGTATAACGATCTTTAAAGTTTACCCTATCGGCACATCTAGTTTCTTTTTCGGAAATAAAACCTATATAGGCACGTGTTTTTCACGATCCAGGCGTAAACCAAAAGCACGTGTTTATTACGGGCAGTTTTACTAGAGTTTAACACGTGTTTTTTGAGGTTTTAAAGTCAAATTTAAATGTTGCATGTTTTTATCAGTGGTTTCACATTCCTTACGGAAAGTTATTAAAATATAATACTACGTTTCCATAACGGTGAAACCATTAATACTTTAACTGGTATTTATGGTAAATAGTAATAGTTAATTTCACGGAATAAAAACCATTTAGGATACGTGTTATTCTTTTTGTTTTAGAAGGTTTAAAATACGCAACAGAAACCAAGCGTAACTATTTTCTGAGTTGTGCCGGCTGGGTATTAGACGTGCTATATGCTTCTGTTGCCGATATAGAGGATCTAATTGAATTTTTTTAGATAGAAACGATCGACATTTTTCTAGCATTTATTACAATAGAAAACTTGCAAATTGAGAAACCTTTTTCCGTAGATGCTTGGTTTACTTAGATTCTAAAAATTCCGTATTTTGTTTTTGCTGTCTACTTTTTGATAATAATTCAAAGTCAAACTTAGTCTATGATGGGTTCAATAAATGGAGACATTTAACTGAAGCATTTGGAATTCATGAAAATAGCGTCTTCCATATAAAATGTTATCAACAGAGGATGGAAACTAAAATAAGATTAAAAACTGGAAAACTATAGATAATGAAGAACTTAAAATTATAGAAAAAGTCAGTTTATGATGGCAAAATGCTCATCTTCGCTTGATGAATGTCACTCTTACCTAGCTGAAAATAATATGTTTTTTCAAGAGAGCTCAGATAAACTGTTTACACCTCAAAACGGCAAATTCTTAGGACTAATACAGATGTTTGCAAAATTTGATCCTGTGATGCAAAAACATTTAGCATTTGCAATAAAAGGTGGCAGGTTCAGATCATCATCAGGTCCAGATCCAAAGGTGGCAGGTTCAATAAAAGGTTCAGATCATTACTGCGGTAAAAATATTCAAAAATGCCAAAGATCAAATGTGGCGTTGCCCAAGGTTCCATTCTAGCTCCCTTACTGTTTTTAATATACTTTAAGGATCTTCCAAAAGCTTCAAACAAACTTAATGTCATTATGTTTGCAGATTATACTAACTTATTTTACTCATCCCCGCCAATTATAGAACATTTTGAAACAACGAGTATTGAACTCAAAACACTTAAAACTAGGCTAAGATCTAATAAACTATGTTTAAACACAGAAAAAACTAATTACATTTTATTCCATCCCAAACAAAAAAGAAAAAAACTACCAAATATATTGCCATCGCTTAAAATAGAAAACAAAAATATTGAAAGAACCACAACTAGATTTCTAGGTTTACTTATTGATGAAAATATTTCATGGAAAGCACATATTGACTATTTAAAAACTAAAATAACCAAAAACATTGGTGGGCTATACAAAGCTAGACCAATGTTATCCCAAGAAAATCTAAAACATCTTTATTTCTCCTTTATACATACCTATTATACATATGGTAATATAGCATGGGCAAGTACCCATAAACCCAATTTGAAATCACTTTATCAACATCAAAATCATGTCGTTAGAATTGTCTATAAAACAGATAAACTCACTCATGCTGAACCTTTGTTAAAAGTCTTTAGTACACTAAATTTCATATCGCGGTCCCTATCTCTATAATAAACTGATATCCAAAAATGTTATAACTACAAAATTAGATAACATAAACTGTTTGAAAATCTTACTAAAAAAATTCGTTCTAAATATAAACAATTATTTGAACTTACACTAAACTAAAACTGAAACTAGAAACAAAATTAGCGTTCAAAACAAAATCCCAAAAAACTTCAATAATATATGTTTATATAAAAAAAGTCAATATAAATCAGTAATAATTATATTTATGCCTAATATATTTATGTGTACTACATACAGCATTTATAAATTTTTTTTTTTTTAACATTTTATTAGATGTGAATTCTTCTTAGAAAAGATTAATGGGGTACAAAAAAGGATTTTAAATCTTAATCCTTTAGCCTTATATGTTCCCTGCGTCAGACATAGTTTAAATTTGGTAATAAGTAACGGTCTTTAGTAAAATCTATAACTTTATTCGGTATTCTCCAGAGATTTTTTACTCTATTTTCAGCTTCAGTGAGCCGATGGAAATTTTTAATTGATCACGTTAAAATTTTACATTTAAAGAAACTCTGTGACACGTGGTGGAAAGCAAAAATAAGTAGTGTCAAAGCCATTTGTTTTCAAGTTGGTGATATAGATGATGCTTTGATAGCATTGTCAGAAATTGAAGGATGTGATCCTAAAACTGCGCATGAAGCGATAACCCTAGAAGAGCACTTGAAAGATTTTAGCTTTCTTGTCTCTTTAACTGTCTGGTATGAAGTTCTTTTTCAATAGTCAATATTGTTAGTAAAAAAGTAAATATTGTTAGTAAAACTCTTCAAGAAAAAGACATGGACATCACTCAATGTGCAAGTGAAAAGCTGTTGCTCATTTTTAGAAAACTACAGAAAATATGGTTTTAAAGCTGCAATCATAAAAGCAAAGAATTTGGCCGTAGTGAAGTACAGGTGGAGCCTGTTTTAAACTACTTAAAAGAAAAATACAAGTAAAACACCATTTTGACGAATCAGCCCAAGATGGGATTTATTCATTTTCTAATTTTTTATTTGATTTCTAATTTTTTTTCTTTGAAAAAGAATTAGAAATAAAAAATTGATTTCAAAAATAATACTTTGCAATGAAATGCTACATACAAAGAAACGTTTTTTGCTTATGTTTTATACAAAATACATTTGATTTTTTATATTAATCTTTCGGGCCTTTTTCCTAAACCGTTCCTAAACCTGAAAATTTATCCTGCAACATTGTTGCAGGATAAATTTTCAGGTTTAGGAACCCTATCAATTGAAAACGTTATTGCTGAAAATTCTGATTTTTCTACGCTAATCAAAGATTTTGGTAAGAAAAAGGCCCGAAAGATTAATATAAAAAATCAAATGTATTTTGTATTAAACATAAGCAAAAAACGTTTCTTTGTATGTAGCATTTCATTGCAAAGTATTAGTTTTGAAATCAATTTTTTATTATTTTCTGTGTAATTTACCAGCAAGTTTATAAGTTGTCAGGGGCGGCAGAAAAAATTTCGCACGAGGGTGGCAAGAAGACCGGCACTTCACATACATTTAATATGTACCTGCTTTTTACAGCCTTGATCACAACCATACTCTGAACAAAATATTGTTAAACATTTACAGGATAACCCAGTGGTCACGAACGTAAAAAAGACGTCTTTTAAACGTCTTATACACGTTTTGGACGTCTTTTGAACGTTTGGACGTTTTTTAAACGTTCAAAAGACGTCTTTTTTTGGTCCTGTGCTCACTGGGAAAATATCAACAAGTTTGTCAATTTTTGGAATGAAAGTATCCTTTATTGAATTTTTTGCATTTCCAAGGCTAACTTTAACTGCAGTTTCCCACAGATACTTTAGTTTAACTTTAATACTACATTCTTTTATCACTACTGGATGTTCAAACTTGCAATTAGCTTTTTTCTATTGAGCAGATAAAGCTAAAGTCATATCATTAACGAGTTTATCGACAGTTTAGTTTCTTTTATTAAGGTCACTGATCTCTCTCAAAAATATTCCATATCATAAAATGTCCCTTACAGTAAGGAGCTCAGATAGGAAAAGAGTTTTTCGTTTTCGAACATATCTACTTAAGTGTGTAGCAGATAAGTTTTTTGTGATTTTTGGTGCCATTATTTAAATTAAAATATAATTTTTTAATAATCCAAGTAATTTTATTTTCAATTTATTTTCATCAAGCTAAGCATTTAAGCTTTTGAAAATATCTCCTTATAGGTACGAAATAAATTTCTTCCACTTAAAGTTTAATTTTTAAATAGAAATACGAAACGAAATACGGTTTAAACGAAATACGTCATTAAATTCCTAAATTGTATTAGCAAGTTAAAGATTTGAGACTGGACAGTGATTGTGAATCTTGTTGTGGCAGAATTTAAACTTTATGACGCAATCTACTTATGTCCTCGATATGAAATATATGTAGGTATGTTACATGAAATTTTTAAATTCATCAAATTATAGGTTGTTATATATCATTAAAAAGAGCTTAATGTCAATATTCTAAAAGTGAAAAAATTTTCAAAATCGAACCACCCTACAAAAAGTTATGACGTTTTAAGTACCGATTTTTTGATATTAGGATTTGTTCAAGAAACTGTGGTCAAAATAAACTTTTTATTAACTAAAACTATTATAACTTAACCAATTCTTATCCAAATGTTTATATCTTGGTATCAAAAGATAGATACAAGAGTCATCTACAAATTTACAAAGATTTCTAGATTACGGGCGCATCCGGGGAGTAAGAGGGGGCACAAAACCACCATCCTTACCGGCAATAAAGATATATAAAAGATATAAAAAAATATATTTATAAAAAAGTGTTTTTTTTTAATGAAAATGTAAATTTTTTTATATGCAAGATGTTTTTGTTATTAGCTATCAGACCACAATCAAATATAGAATATTCATCATTGCCTTTGGGTGGATGTAAGGGTGATGGTTTCAAACACCCTATTATCAAAAGTGACTCTTTATATAAATATTTATCTTTATAATTAAAAAGAAATCTAGTATTCAAATCAAAAATTATATTTTACTACTTTTCAAAATCACTAGCAGCGCACCCCTTGTTTCAAGGGGTGTAAATGGGGGAGGGGGCGTGTTGTCCCCCCCCCTTTTTTTTTTGACAACCTAAAAAAAAATATATATATTTTTATTGAGATTCATAAAAATATTTAAATTCAATTAAAATAATAAACTTTATTTTAAAAACATCTTTTACCAAAACTCAAAATACATCACACAATGCTTTGTGATAGTTATAGATGGTTCCCCCTCTGACCTAAAAAAGAATTTCAAAAACAAAAAATGTTTTATAATATTATTCTAATTAGTTTGCGTCTTGGCTTTTAGTTAATGATTAAGATATTAAATTCCATTAATGAAACTATATATTAATCATTGTTAACAATAGACATGGCGTGAACGTAAGCCAGAGCCCTCTATCAAAAAAATTTGCAAGTTCCACTACTCGCTATATATATTTTATGCAAAGTTCCACTACTCGATATATTTTTTTTTTGCAAGTTCCACTACTTGCTATATTTTTTTTTTGCAAGTTCCACTACTTGCTATATTTTTTTTTTGCAAGTTCCACTACTTGCTATATTTTTTTATTGCAAGTTCCACTACTGGCTATATTTTTTTTTTGCAAGTACCACTACTTGCTATTTTTTTTTTTTTTTTGCAAGTTCCACTACTCGCTATATTTTTTTTTTGCAAGTTCCACTACTCGCTATAAAGTTTTTGTGCAAGTACCACTTCTCGCTGTACATTTGCATATTATTGATATTGATATATATATATATATATATATATATATATATATATATATATATATATATATACATATATATATATATATATATATATATATATATATATATATATATATATATATATATATATATCTATATATATATATATATATAATATATATATATAGAGAGAGAGAGAGAGAGAGAGAGAGATTGAGAAATAGAGAGTCAACCATAGTAAAATAAAGTAGCAAGATTATCAAATGCATTTCCAATAATAAAAAAATAAATGCAACATATTTACATTAGGAAAACATCAACTCACCGGATACAATGTCAGCAACTAGCTGGAATTTTTTCATATAATAATCAACTGCTTCAGTATCATTTTCTTCTCTAGTCCAATAAGAAATAGTGTATATAATGCCTTTCTGTGCTTTCTTAAGTTTTTCTACTCTGCCAATATACAAGAATATGCATATCGGAATCATACCATTCATGGCAAAAATTTCTCCCAACAATTCTTTCACACATAACATCATTTAAATCATCAATTTGCTTAGTAGATAAGTTTTTAAATAAATTCAGAATTTCACTAATAGTTAATAATGTTAATTGTTGCTCTAACTTTCTTTTTTCTTTTTCATCGATTTTTTGGCGTTTTATAGTCTGTCTTTTAGAAATCTCAGCTCTAATTTCAGAATGTTGTAGTCGAGTTTTTATTTGTTTTCTACGTGCTGCCTGCATAGACCACTGAACTAGCATTTTACCATGAAAAACTTACTTGAGGAACTTGATGAAGGTTTCACTAAAGAATAACTATTATAAACCTATTTATAAAAAAAATTAGTAATAATACAATTTTCAAGTTTTTGCTTCATATACACAAACTATATATTCAAAATTGGTCTTATACATAAATTGCATATTAAATTTTTAAAATCCAAAAACAAAATTTACTTACAAGCGTTAACTAATTTGTCTAAAAAATAAATAAGTAACTAATAGTAAATAAATCTGAGATTGAAAAACAATAATTTATTTTTAACAAAGTGTTAGACGATACAATAAAAATATATACTTATTGCATACTTATTGTATTCTCCATAGTGTCTAAAAAAACAAAAATAACCAATTGCGAACAAATAACTTAAAAAAAAAGTTTTAACTATAATAATGGTTTTTATTTTTATTTTTGTTAGTTCATTCCAGTTATATTTTATTTTCATTGTGATTTACATTGTTAGAATTTTATATTATTATAAGATTATATAAAAACATAATAAATAAAATAACAAAACAGTTTTAATATAAATAGAATTAAGAATAAAATAGATTCAATAAATGAGAATTACTAACTAAATAATTAAATAAATAATAACTAAATAACAAAATAGAATTACTAACTTAATTTTTCATATAAGCTTTCAATAGCTTGTGCATCTAAACAATCATAACAAAGGAACTATTTCAAACAATTTATAGCAGTTTTATTTAAACAAAAGTTATATATATATATATATATATATATATATATATATATATATATATATATATATATATATATATATATATATATATATATATATATATATATATATATATATATATATATATAATAATAATAATAATAATAATAATAATAATAATAATAATAATAATAATAATAATAATAATAATAATAATAATAATAATAATAATAATAACAATAATAATAATAATAATAATAATACTATTAGTAATAGTACTAATAGTATTATTATATCAATATTTATTGATATAGATTCTGACTTTGATACATAGAATCATACACAGAAACATAAATTTCTACCATTATGTACTTCTTACTAAATAAACAATACAATTACTCAGAAATACTGTTATTAGATTAGACAAAGATTAGAAAGTCTTGGCATTACTAAGTATTATTATATCTAAGTAAATAGTGATACTATTTGCATAAAAGATAACTAATAAATTAATTGGAAAATGAAAATAAAAATTTTGGTAATCTTACAATTTATCTCTTCACTCATTTTATCTAAAAAAAGTAAAATTTAGTAAAAATAAAAAATTTACAAAAAAGTTTTATTTTTTTTTAAAGTTAAAGAATTCGATTTTTTTGTACCCCCCGATCGCCCGCAAAAAATTTCAGATTAAGGAAAATAGGTACCAAAAGTGGGACCCAAAATAGACTGCTTGGGCCCCATTTTTTTTCAACGAAATTTGGCAGACAAATAAAAAATAGGTAAACTTAAATGGCTGCGAAACAATCTCAATTGCTGTTCATATCTTCGATATTTGCTGGATGTGCAAAGTTAACAAAGTTTTGCATGTCAAAAAATCAACTTATAAAGTACGTAATAGTAATCATAGAACATAAATTCTTAAAGTATAATCATTCTAGTTTCTAAAAAATATCTATGTTAATATGAAATTATAAAAAATAAGGCGACAAAACACAGCACAACCTACCTCTCTAAATGCGAAGTTCAAAAAACGTGGCACAGAATTTTAGCACATTTATCGGTTCCGTAAAACGCGGATATCGGCGTACCTAAATATATGTTGATGATAGTCTTGCTTTACCATTTGTGTACATTCTTGGTTTATTCCAGATGATCATTTAATATGTACAAAATATAAAAGATTAATACGACATATTTCAGATTCAAATCTTATCTCTGTTGTTACTTTGTTTAGCCTGTGTTCTGGAATAACTGATGTATTCGCATTAAAGTCAAATCTACATATTAAACATTGTATTTCAAAAAATTTTGATTTACTTTCATCTAAGTTTCCTTTAAACCAACCAGAGTATTTTTGTTCTGAGTCATGTATTATGCTTATTGAGTTAGTGTTATGCTGTTCTCAATGCAAAAGCATTAAAAAAAAAATGGAATCATAAGTTTGAAAAAAAATCCTGCCAATGCTTGTATCTCTACTAAATTAAGAACACTGATTAAATTTACATCTCCAGATTATCTAAAGCTTACATTACTGAGTGTTCGTCTGAAAAATTAAAAATTAAAAAAAGGAATTAGCTTTGATGAAGCATGAGATTAAAAATTGATCACTATCTATAAGTAAAGGTATTGAAATTGATTTAGTTCAAATAATGACAAGAGCTGATAAAAGCAAGATTTCTTTATTCATGAGTCTGTTTTGTAAAGAGCAGCAAAAATATTTAAAAAGCTCAAAGCAAAGGATTCGCTATCATCAAGCAATAATATGTTTCTGTTTGGGATTAGCTGCAAAATCACCAGCTGCTTATGAAGCAGTACGATTAAATGAGGAAAATAATTCTGGTTTCTTAGTTTTACCAAGTCGTAGGCAGTTGCGTGACTATAAAAATTATGGGAAGCCAAAATTAGAATTTAATAAAAATATAATCAAAGAATCAAAATGTAAAGTTGAACATTTTTCAGCTCAAAAAAAGTTTATTATTCTAGTTCTTGATGAAATGAAAATTCAAAAAAATCTTGTTTGGGACAAGCATTCTGGAGAATTATTTGATTATGCTGATTTGGGCAATCCTGTTGTTAATTTTGCAACATTACAACAGGCTAAGAAACTTGCTTCTCGTGTATCAGTTTTTATAATAAGAAGTATTGTAAATTCTTTCAAATACAGTTTTGCAAACTTTGCCACAATAAATATTACATCAGTGCAATTATTTTCTCTACTTTGGAAAGCTGTAGGCATTTTAGAAATCTCAGTTGGTTTAAAAGTAGTAGTTACTTGTGATGGAGCATAATCGAATAGAAAATTTTTTAAAATGCATTTTAATCTAACTGAGAAAGAAAATAATAATGGTCATGTTGATGTGACAGTACTGATAATTTATTTTCTGATGATGACAATAAAGTTTATATATTTTATTTCTGATGTCCCTCATTTAATTAAAACAGCAAGGAACAGCCTTTCTTATTCTGGAGCTGGTAAAAGCAATTGTTATATGTGGAATCAGGGTCAACATATTTTATGGTCTCATATAAGTGATTTATTTTATGAAGATTTAAAATATCAATTGCATGCATGTCTAAAGCTAACCTTTGAGCACATCAAAATAACTCCATTTTCAGCAATGAATGTTCGTTTAGCTGTAGAAGTTTTAAGTAATTCATGTAGTACTGCATTAGAAATCTATGCACTGGAATCAGCTGAAACTGCACAGTTTTGCAAATGTTTTAATGATTTTTTTGATTGCTTAAATGTTCTTAATACAAATGATTATATATTAAAACGCAACTCATTTTTGAAACCATTTTCTAATACTAATGATATTCGGTTTACATGGCTGAAAGAAAATTTTTATAATACCTTACTGATTGGCTTTTTTCTATTGAATCAAGACCTAGAAATTTTTCAAAAAGTGATAGAAGTAATATGTTTATTACTTGGCAAACCCATGAAGGTATGAAGATCACAGTTAATTCTGTTATTGAACTTGTCAAATTTTTAATTAATAACAATGTAAGTTATGTATTAACTGAAAGGTTTTGTCAGGATTCTTTAAAAAACTATTTCGGACAACACCGGTCAATTGGTAGAAGAAAAGATAATCTTTCCTTGTTTGATTTTGGATTCAATGATAATACTATTCAAAATCAACATATATTTCACCCAATTGCAGGTAACTGTCTGAATCTTAATGAATCAAACAAAATATCAATGAAGGAGAGTATGACACGAATACCACGCAGGAAATGGACTTACTCTGAAAAATATGTTGATAAAAAAAGTTGACTTTTTAAGTGATTTAATAAAAAAAAACTCTCTTATGTCTCCTTGTACTGCTGAAAACAAATAAATGATTTTGCATTAAAACGGCTATTTTCATAGCCACAAATCTTTTTAAAAACATTAAATGGCATAAAATATTGATTAGTTAATTGGGAAATTCATTGCTAAAATAATAAATAAAAAAGTTTATTTTGCAGTCTTATTTTTTTTTACTTTTGTCACAATGTAAACAAGCACCTAAGCTGCTTTTTATAGAAACTCTAATAATGATATTAAAATATTAGGATTTTTGATAGAACCTCTAATAACAGTAAAATTGTATATGAGTCCTAGCGCGTAATCAGGTGTGAAACTGGGTGACTTTCTTAAAGCTAATCTATTTTTCATAGGTACCACTAGATATAAAAAATGTATTTTTAAAACCTGTCATTAGGACACCATAATTTTAAAAAACATTTCATTATTAGGTATTAGATTATTAGTTCCTCAAATTTTGTTTAAGGGCTTGTATAATTTAAAAAAATATCCCTAAATTTACTGTCCCTACCTCTTATTGGGTGCATGGGGGTGCCTTTGTATGTGTAGTGGTAGGATCGCTTGCATTAGAAGCAATAGATTATTGGTTCAATGCCTGCTCTTTGCATATTTACATTATCTGTAAAGTAAGAAATCAAAAACCTTTATTTGATACCTATTCAATTTGGTGTATGGTGCCATAATTTAATCGTGACCCAATTGAGCTCGGAGCGGTCATGTATATATATATATATAATCTCAAATGAATATAAGAGAAGACTATTTTTCTTCATATATAAAATATTTTTTAATACAAGTTCTAAATAGGTTTTTGAATGTTTGTTTCCTGGTTTTGTTGCTTTTAGTCATAATTTCATTGAAAGTTTTAATTTTGATGAGTTTGAGGATGGCAACATTTTCAAATAAATATTAAACAATCTTTACATGTATTAAGCATGTGATATATATATATATATATATATATATATATATATATATATATATATATATATATATATATATATATATATATATATATATATATATATATATATATATATATATATATATATATATATATATATATATATATATATATATATATATATAGGGGAAAGCGGGGCAACACGAAGAACGCTTTGAAAGCCCTGAGTTATTGCGAAACTATCTGTCGCGAAGCAATACTACTTTCTAAGTATGTTTATGTTATTAAAATGATTCATTGCCAGCATGAATTTTCCGTTTGCAAATATAACAATTTGAAATAATTATTAAAATAAAAAGTTCATAAGTTTGGTCACGTGACCGGGGCAAAATGACTTATAATGCAATTTTTAACTCCAGTTTTATAAAATTTTAAAAACTACTAATAACTCTAACTAAAGTATCACAAAATATACACAAATTGCCAAAAACTACTTTTAAAGAAGTTAAACTTGAAGGATACCATACATTATGAGAAACCGAAAGTGAGGATTTTTTTTTAAACGCAAAAAGTAAACTTATGCGTATAAAATTGCGTTAATAATATTTTAAAAAACCAAATATTGTTTTAAAATACAAAATACAAATACAGTTTCATTTTTACCCAATTTTAAAATTTTTTGTTGAGTTGTAATATGAAAACCCATCTTGCCCCATTCGCTATGTTGACCCGCTCTCCCCTATATATATATATATATATATATATATATATATATATATATATATATATATATATATATATATATATATATATATATATATATATATATATATATATATATATATATATATATATATATATATATATATATTATTATATATATATATATATATATATAACTGCATATTTTTCAAAACTATTAGTTTCATGCTAAATACAATCATCAGGTGTAAATATGTTTTTTTTCTCGTAAAAATAATGAATCTGTACTAAAGATAATTTAAATAATAACTAAATTGATAATAACACAGTGCAATTTCGATTCCAATATTTTGAATTAAATAATATTTAAAAAGCCACACAAAATACAAAATACATTGTATTTTGTGTGGCTTTTTAAATATTATTTAATTCAAAATATGATTGGAATCGAAAGTGCACTGTATTATTATCAACTTATTTATTATTTAGATATTTTTTAAATTTAATTAACTATATGTTATATTTTTTATTTCAGAACATAAAAATAAAATTTTTCATACTGTGTTTTGATTATAAATACTTCATACTTATAAGGCTATGCCAATAAAAAATATTTAAAAAAAATATATGCTGCCACCTACTAATATGTTTTATATGATAAAAAATCCTGATTATAAAAATTTTTTATTCAAAAAATTTTTATAATCAGGATTTTTTTTTATAATGATAATACAGTATGCTCTTTGAGCATTAATTTACCACCTATAGAAGTACCAAGTTCTGTGCGATCTTATGTATATTATAATGATAATACAGTATGCTCTTTGAGCATTAATTTACCACCTATAGAAGTACCAAGGTCTGTGCGATCTTATGTATATTATGTATATTGTGTATTTATTATAAAATAATAAATACATAAACAAACAGTTGTTTGTTTATGTATTTATTATTTTATAATGTTAAGCCAAAGAGGTATAGAAAAATCTAAAGTTATATACTCTTTTAATAAGAAACACTTTTTGTTATTTATTATATTGTTATAATTATCTGTTAAAAAAATACAATTAAATATTTCTACCAACTAATATTTACATTCTTTACTATATATGTCAATTCGTAATCCTTCAGTTTTTAATTTGATATTTTTAACACTTTGAAATTCTCTACTTATCTATCTACATCTAATTCCTCTGGTTTTCTATCTGCCATTTTCAAACTTTATTCTTAAACTATCCATACTAATATTATTAATTTTAGTACCAATGGGTTGGCAATCTTTATTTATCTATCTATTTATCTCTTTTCATTCAACTATTCTCTATTTCTCAACTATTCTACTTCGTACTAAATCTTTGTTGTTGCCATCACTCTTTACTAAATACGATAATTAAAATATAATGAATTTTAAAGTAAATCACAAATACTTAAAGTTTTAAAATTCGATGCATCAAAAAAAAAAAAAAAAAAAGCAATGAAAAAAGTCAATCATAATGCTAAAAATATTGATCATATGAAAATTAAAAAATTAAAAAAAATAAAATAAATAAATAAAAATTATTTTTTTAATTTTTTATTTAAACCATGTCTTTGTTAATATGCAAGGTCTCTTCAGTTTTTAGTTTGCACTTATTTTAATAAAATCTTTATATAAAAAAATCTTAAACTTGTGTTTTAAAAACATGATAAAGTAACTAAAATGTGATTAACTAAAGTATAACAGGCTAGCTTGATGATTGTTGTTGTAGCATTGCTGAGAGTATTTCCTGCGAATTTGAAGAAGATTTTTCAGCATATGTCGTGGCTATTTTTTGAAAACTACTTTTTATACCAGCTGCATAAGGATGGTCTTCAAAAACTTGAATGATTTCCAAAGCTTGCTTAATATATTTAGTTTCTCGTTCATATTGCTCTATGTTAACATATACCAACCCAAGATTGTTTAAAGAAAAAGCAAAACTAGGATGAGGTTGATCATTGTAGATAAGTTTTTTCATTTCTAGGCTTTGCTCATAGTGATAAATTGCCTCCACGTATTGTGTTTTAGCAGCATAAACTAATCCAAGATTATTTAAAATATCAGCAATACTAGGATGAGGTTGATTTTGAAGGATGAACTTTTTCATCTGTATACTTTGCTCATAGTAGTGAATTGCCTGATCATAGTCCTCCTTAGAATAATAAGCTATACCAAGACTATATAAGGAATGAGCATCATCTGGATGTTGCCTATTTTGATAGATTAGTTTGTAAATTTTGAGGCTTTCCTCGCAGTAACTGCCTGATCATACTGTTCTGTACTAACATAAAATAATCCAAGACTATTAAAAGAATATGCAACACTAGGGTGAGGTTTATCCTTGTAGATAAGTCTATTCATTGTTAGACTCTGCTCATAGCAAATAATTGCTTGATCATATTGCCCTTTTTCGCAATAAACTAATGCAAGATTGTTTAAACAATCAACAATATCAGGATGCGGTTGGTTATGATTAATTATTTTGTTTAAATTTAGATTTTGAATAGAGAAGTTAATTGCTTGATCATAATCACCTGCATCAGCGTAAATTAATCCAAGAAACATTAAAGAACTAGAATAACATGGATTATGCTCATCTTTATAAATGAACTTTTTCATTTTTAGACTCTCCTCGCAATATTTAATTGCCAAACCATATTTTCCAACAAGTTTATATAAACCTCCTAGATTTTGTAAAGTATCAGCAACACTAAGGTAAGGTTCACCTTGATGAATCAATTTTTCCATCGTTAGGCTTTCCTCATAATACCTTATTGCCTGATCATATTTTGTTTTATTTTTAAACACACTTCCTAGAGAATTTAAAATGACAACAACGCTGGGGTGAGGTTTATCATTATAGATAACTTTACTTATTGCTAGACTCTGCTCATAGCAGTTAATTGCTTGATCATATTGCTCTCTATGACAATAAATTAATCCAAGGTTATTTAATGAATTAATAACACTAGGGTAAGTTTATCTATAGAAATCAATTTTTCTATCATTAGGCTTTCCTCATAATACTTTGCTGCCTGATCATATTTGGTTTTATTTTTGTACACATTTCCGAGAGAATTGAATATAGTAACAACATTAGGGTTTGGTCTATCTTGATAAATTAGTTTGTACACTTTGAGACTCTCCTCATAACACTCAATCGCCTTGTCGTATTGCCCTGTAGCGTTATAAACCAATCTTACATTTCTGAAAGATAAAGCAATATTTTCGTGAGGTTCATCATGGTAAACGTGCTTGTAAATTCGTATGCACTCATCATAATACTTAATAGCTTCATCATGCTGCAACTTTGCCGCACAGGCTATCCCTAATGCTGCAACTTAACCACAGAAGCTATCCCTAAATTATAAAGAGTATGAGCAACAGGTGAAGTTCATCTTTGTAGAAAAATTTATTAATCTTAAGATTTCTTTTGTAATACTTGATGGTCTGATCATATTGTCCTTTGGCGCGATATGTTATTGCTATATTGTTTAAACAATCTGCAACTCGAGGGTGTGGTTCATCTCTGTAAATAAGCTTGTAAATTTTTACACTTTTTTTATAAAATTTAATTGCTTTATCATAATTTTGTTTGCGGTTATTTGCTAACCCTAAATTATTTAAACAAGCAGCAAAACCTGAATGAGATTTGCTTCGGTAAATTTTTCTTATAATCTTTAAGCTCTCTTTGAATTTTTCTATTGTCTGATCTTGTTGGCCTTTATTTCTATACGCATCTCATAAGTTGTTTAAACAAAAAGCAACGTTTGGGTTAGGTTCATCATTGTATATAACCTTGTAAATTTTTAGACTATTTTTGTAGCATTCAACTGCCTCATCATCACAATTTTTAGAACTATAAGCAACCCCTAAGTTGTTTAAAGACTCTCCGCTATAGATACTATATGAGGGTCCTCACAAGAAACCAGTTTTATCGTTTTAGTACAATACTCAAACAGCTAAATAGCCTGATCGTAATTACCAATAATAAGATATAAACGTCCTAATGCTTCCCCTATTAGTCATTTATTTTTATTATATGGATCATCTAACGCTTTCTTGAAATTGCTCTGGGCAATCTTATATTGCGCTAATCTAAAGTAATTAAAACCTTTTGTAGCACAATCATTTTTGTAAAAATTGTTGTTCTTAAAAAAAGATTGTCTGCATGTTTTGTTTAATGTCTGGCATTTGCTGCAAAAATCGTTAATCGTTTCATGAAATGGCAACGCTGTATAAAAATATTGAAACAACTCCCCTTGTTCTCCTAAATCTTTTACAGTTAAATAAAATATTTGTTTAAACCTCTCTTTGAATTCAGATTCAGTTTTAGCTAGTCTATTGAATACTGACAAGTTTTCCCTTTGTGCTTTACGATGAGAATAAGTTTTTAACCTAATAATAGTAGCAAAAGATATAGTACTTTTTACACTAAGTGCAGCCTGTGATTTGATTATTCCATTTTCCTCTAATTTATATGTTATATCCCAAGCATTTTGTTTTAGCAATGAAAAGTTTCCAAATACCTGCAATGTTAAGTAAGTAAAAAAAAACATTACTTTTCTATTAGCAAATATAACATTAATAAATAAATTTATTTTTTTATCTTTATAACATGATCATGTAAAATACAACAGTTTAAAAAAAAAATCTTAGCACCAAACTACTCAAATAATAAAAATATAATTTTCAGCCGAACTTAAATTTAAGCAAGAACCAAAAAATAATCAACTATAAGATTAAGAACATTACAGATGTTGAAGAAAAAATTTTAAAATTTTTTCAGTTAGAAATTTTGAAAAATATGCATCCATGGCCTACTTAAATTACACGGCCTGATTTGTTGCATTTTCCGTAAAAAATTAAGAGGCCAGTTTTTTTTACGGCTTAAGTATAAAAACTTAAATTTTGTTATGGTTAAGAGTCTTGTTTGCACTATAATTGTTTTATTTTTATTTTATTAAAATAGTTTAATATTAGTTAGATTTTCTTTGATTACTTAAATTATTTTGTGCTAGATTTTCTGTTAACTGATTGCCTGCTTCAATTTATTCCAATAAAAAAGAATACTGAAATAGGCTTTCAGATAGCTATATCAACACATATTAAAATGCTACTAAAAATAATCTTACATATTGCTAAAACTACCCACAACTCTCCATTGGAAATAATTTTAAAGGTTTGTAATTTTGTATTTATTATAATTGCAATTATTAAGTAGAAAACATAAACTTTTCTTTAAATTATTTACACTGCAAAACAAGGTTTTACATTGTAAATACTTTATTATGCTGCATGTCTCAAACATACAGCAATTAAAATGTAACAAATCAGGCTATTTATTTACATTAGCCAAGAAATATCAGGCATACCAACTGTTTTGGAGTCAAAAGCTGTTAATAAAATTCTATTTTTTTTTATTGCCAAATAAATGGTTATCATTCTTCTTTATTTAAATGGTTTCGCAGTGGTAAAAAATACAAATTGAAAAACTATAATATATTAGAAAAAACATTGACAAAAGTTTGGTATTAAGAGATTATTTGCTTCTTGTGGGTAAGGTGAACTTTCAAAAAGCAGCCCAAAGTGGTAAACATTTTGATGAAGATTGAGAAAGCAATCTTTATAAAGAATTGGTTTTTGTTTTTATGATTGTAGGGCTTCATAAATTTATTCTTATGTTTTGAAATCATAACCTAAAGTTTACATAACAGGTATATGTTTGAAATAAGAAATTGATGAGTGTATTACCTCAATGCACCAATCTGAATTTAAGATAAGAACTACTGATAGTTACCGATAACCATTTTACAAATGTTAATGCATCTATATAGTTTCATAAAGCATATACTGGAGATGGAAAATTATTAATTTATCATTTAGCTTAGAAAGGGAGTGTTTAAAATATACTTGTTATTTGATAAACTCGGTTTTTGTTTTTTTCTTCTTGTTGAAGTTACTGCTGATTACATTGCAGGGAATATATTTCTTAAAGTTTATTAAAAGATCACTTATTAAACAAGCAAGAAAAAGCAAGAAAAATTAGTTATCAAATCACATATTTTGGTAACAACAAACAAGTTGTCAACATCGACAATATTTGACAAAACAACTGCAGCTACAACTGCTAATTTAGAGTTATTTTTCTGAAAGAAATAACGCAGCACAATTATCATTGTTTTATAAGTTATTTATCATACTTAATTCAAAGCAGAAACTTAATTCATCTAATCAAACTCAGCAATGCTGCTATGAAAAGTGATAACAAACCCACACTTTATAGAGAAATTGCAAATTGTACTGAAATTTGATCAAAATAAAATTTGATAAATAGCTGACATTAACCAAACAAACTTCTTGTGCTCTAATTACAACACTACGCGCATTTGTATTTCTTATGCATGATTTCCTTGAAGAAGGCTTTACATTTGTTTATAGTTAATTTACAAAAAGATCCTTTGGAGCTAGGTTTTATTAAGTACAGTTAAATGCCCAATAGTAGAATTTTTGTGAGCCTTTTAGAAATGTGCATAAGTAAAAAGATTTTTTCAGATTTTCCTAGAAAATATTTACCAGAATTTTGATAATCCTTAAAAAATATTATGCAAGATATTGCTTAGTTGTCTACATAAATACTAATGTATTTTATCTTTTTATTTCAATTATAAAAAATACAAAACTACAAACCTTTTTTTTGCTCAATGGAGAGTTTTAGGCAATTTAAGCAACATGAGAGATTATTTTTAGTAGCATGTTGGTATGGGTTGATATAGTTATCTGGGAGCCTATTTCAGTATTCTGTGTTGATGGAATAAACTGAATCAGGCAATCAGTTAACAGAAAATCTAGCAACAAATTAATGTAAGTACTCAAAGAAAATCTAACTATTATTAAACCATTTTAATAAAATAAAAATAAAACAATTATGGCGCAAACAAGACTCTTAACCATAACAAAAATTAAGTTTTTATACTTGAGCCGTAAAAAAACTGGCCTCTTAATTTTTTACGGAAAATGCAACAAATCAGGCCGTCTAATTTAAGTAGGCCATTATGCATCTTAATTTGTTATTAAACTTATTTATATTGTCTAATAATAAATAATATTATTCGCAATGTTTGAGATGAGAAAATTATTTATGATGAATAATAATGTTACATACATTATTCAAATAATCTTATAACTTATAGTTACTTTTTATCTATAGATATAATAGCATATATAAAAAATATTTGATCAGTTATGAGCAATAGTAAGTTGAGGAAAAATGATGAGAAGTTTAATGATATTGTTGGTAAATTATTACATACCCTTGAAGCAAAGATGTATAGTCAACTACCAACAAATGGAGGTGTTGCGCGCCATTATCTTTATTTTACAAGATTTGACTTGAAATTAACTGGTAAAAAAGAAGTTGCATCTGTAGTTTGAGAAAAAAATAATGTTTCTTGGAAAAAGGCAGGACATCCAATAAAACAGAATAAAAATATTGTTAGAATGATTTTGCATCTGATTCATCTTAGAAAGAACTTGATTAAAATGCAAAAAAACAAATGTGTTATGCAGCTCAACTTCTGAGTTTTACTTATAAACTATCATCGTTGTTTAGTATTGCAGCAACAAATGCAAAAAATTTTATAAGAAAAGATACCTCGCACAGTATCAATAGTCAGATCTCCGATATAGACTTTCTCTCAGATCAGCGTCACTTGAAAAAGCAACTTTGGGCCCATTAGACAAGAGTTATGCTATAAAAATGAAAAGAAAGTAGGAAAAAGAGAAACATAAAATCAAGGCTATTGACAAAGAGAAATCTAGAACAGAAAACATAAAAAAAAAAAAATTTTCAATGTGTCGGCAGCATTTGATAAAAAAGACAAAACTCGTAATAAAAATGAAGAAAATACTATTGCTAGACAGAAAAAAAAGCCAAGATATTAGAAAAACCTAAAGTTTCCTTTATGGCTGATAGGTTGAATCTATCCAACAAAGAAAGATCTGGAACCATTTTAGTTGTAGTTGAAGCATTAGGTCACAATTTAGATGAAACATCTCAAAAAGCACAGCGAACAGATCAGGTAATTTAATTCGACAGCAAGTTTCAGATGATCTTAAGAAAACATTCGTTTTACCCATGTACTCTTCCATTCACTTGGATTTAAAGCTGGTATCTGAGGTCGATGGTAGAGTGGAACGTTTGGCTATTGTTGTAACAGGAAAACCAAGTACACCTGAAGGGAAATTGTTGTGTGTATCCAGGATTCCTGATACAACTGGACAAAGTCAGGCAACAGCTACCATGATGCTAACTAGAAAAAACACTTGTGGCAATGATTTTTTAAACAACTACATCAAATTGAGGTTAGATAAATGGTTCTGCAAAGTTACTTGAAGAACACTTTAACAAAAAGTTACTTTGGTGCGCTTGCCGACACCATATTTTTGAAAGAGTCTTCTGTTTAGTTAAAATTTTTTGGAGAATGTAGATCTCCAAATTATGAGCCATTTAGACACTTTAAAAATGAGGTATTGCTTTTTATTAACTTCAGATACTTTAAAAAAAATGAAAATCGAAGAACCAGTTTTAAAGTCCAAACAAGCAGAAGTAATAATTTTTTTGTCTGGTTTACTTAACCGGTAATCTCGAAAAAATATTAAGAGATAATTATTGAGAATGTTGTCCATTTCTTTGCATTGGCACTAACCTGGAGCCTTCCATCATGCTATATGGATGTATAAAATCTTGTACACATAAAAGATATTTGCTTTTGCTGACCTGGCAGAGTATGAAGAAAGTTTTATACAAAAATTGTCACAATTTTGTAAATTTACTTTACTATTTTATGTGAAAATATGGCTTACGTGCACAAGCACAATCAATGCCCCATTTAATGACTTGGAATTCTACAAAGAAATGCTTATTTATAAAAAAATTGTCAATGACGTTGCTGTTGCTGCCCTGGAAACATTTAATCGGCATCTTTGGTACTTAACCAAAAAAATGTCCCCTCTTTCATCAATTTCTGATAAGGTCGCAATAAAATTAAAATTGCAAAAACAATTCTGAAAAATATAAAAGAAAACTGTGAACATGATATAGGCTTTCAACAAATTCCTCTCTGAAGCACAGTACTTGTTTGACTGATTTATTTGAAGCAAAATCAAGCAGCATTCTAAAGTTATTCGAATATTCAAATAAAGACAGTGGTTGGTTCGTTAAAAACCCCAAAGTTTTGGAAAGCTAACACAAACTTTAATCACATGATTGAGCATATCAAACCACTGTAAACGATACAGTGGAACGAGCTGTTAAACTAATTCCAGATAACTAATTCTATGCATCATCTTTTACGAAAGATGATGAAAGAATCTCTTTTACGTGCAGTAAAACACCAACGAAAAGTTCTTCCTCATATAAATAAAACAATAATTAAAAAACTTAATTTTTGAAAATATGCTTTAAACAATCTCTTTTTCATTATATCTTTAAAAAATTTATTATTTTTTTATTATAATAAAAAAAAAAAAATTGAATTTCTAAATACTTGTTCCCATTGTGCTTTAATATTATTAACTTATACCAATCATTCTTTGCTTCTTTGTTTAAGTATTTATCAAGTTTTTTGTTTTAATTAAACATGATAATTTATAAAGTTCCGTATTTAGGCAGAAAAAAATCTTACGACAAAGGTATTATTAGAAACGATAGGGGGGGGGGGGGATCAATAACCAGATGAAAATTTATTTTTAATAAATTTTTATTTTTGTTCATTACAAAATTATTTGAAATTATAATAACAGTTAACTTACCGTAAAAGTTAAAATACCATAAAAAAAGTTTTTTTTTTTTTAATCTAATCATTTTTTTATTTATTGATCTTTTTGTGATTATTTCACTTTATATTAATCATTCTCAAATCGAAAAAAGTTAATTATTATCACATAATCAAAACAACAATATATATATATATATATATATATATATATATATATATATATATATATATATATATATATATATATATATATATATATATATATATATATATATATATATATATATATATATATATATATATATATATACTATATATATATATATATATATATATATATATATATATATATATATATATATATAAATGTATATAAATGTATATAAATGTATATATATATATATATATATATATATATATATATATATATATATATATATATATATATCTATATATATATATATATATATATATAAATGTATATAAATGTATATATATATATATATATAATATATATATATATACATATATATACATATATATATATATATATATATATATATATATATATATATATATATATATATATATATATGTATATATATATATATATATGTATATATATATATATATATATATATATATATATATATACATATATATACATATATATATATATATATATATATATATATATATATATATATATATATATATATATATATATATATATATATTCAAATATTTATATATTTATATATATATATATATCAATAAATTTTGTGGTGCTCTTAACACTATTATTTGAATACCATAGTTAAAAATGTAACATAATAGCTCAATTATTGTTGATGCAGAAGTGATAAGATAATCTCATTCGGATTTGAAGAACATTTTTCAGCTAATGACGTTGTTGTTTTTTCAAAACTACTTTTTATTTCAGCTGTATAGGGATGATCTTTAAAAACTTGAATAATTTGCCAAGCTTGATGATGATATTTAATTGCTTGTTCATACTGCTCTATATTATCATAAACCAACCCAAGACTGTTTAAAGATAAAGCAACACTTGCATGAGGTTGATCATTGTAGATATGTTTTTTCATTTCTATACTTTGCTCATAGTAATTAATTGCTTTATCATATTGCTTTTTATTAGCATAGACTAAACCAAGGTTGTCTAAAATATCAGCAACACCAGGATCAGGTTGATTTTGATAGATGATTTTTTGCATTTGTAGACTTTGCTCATAGCAGTTAATGGCCTGATCAAATTTTTCTTTAGTAGAATAAGCTATTCCTAGGTTGTACAAAGAATAAGCAACATCTAAATGAGGTTCATTTTGATAGTATAGTTTATAAATCTTGAGACTCTCCTCACAGAATTTAATGCCCTGATCATATTGTGCTGTTGCAGCATAAAGTAAGCCAAGGCTTTTATAAACATATGCAACACTAGGGTGAGGTTGACTATGATAGATAAGTTTATTCATTGTTAGATTCTGCTCATAGTAGTTAATTGCTTGATCATATTCCCCTTTATTAGTAAATATTAATGCAAGATTGTTTAAAGAATCAGCAATATTAGGATGAGACTCGCTTTGGTAAATTAGTTTGCTTATATTTAGATTCTTCATAAAGCAGTTTATCGCTTGATCAAAATCTTTTGTGTCAGCGTAAGCTAACCCAAGTAAAGATAAAGAATCTGCATAACTAGGATGATTTTCATCCTGATAAATAATTTTTTTCATTTTTAGACTTTCCTCGCCATACTTAATTGACAAATCATATTTTCCAACAAGTTTATACAATACCCCTAGAGTTTGCAATTTATTAGCAACACAAAAATCAGGTTTATCTTGAAGTATCAATTTTTCCATCATTAAACTTTCCTCGTTGTACTTAATAGCTTGCTCATATTTGGTTTCATTTTGATATATATTTCCTAAAGACGTTAAAATAGTAGCAACAATAGGGTGAGGTTTATCTTGAAAAAATAATTTGTAAACTTTAAGACTCTCCTGATAACACTCAATTGCCTTGTCATATTGTCCCATAGCACTAAAAGCTAAGGCTTTATTTTTGAAAGTTAAAGCAACATCTTGGCGGGGTTCATCTTGGTAAAAGTGTTTGTAAATTTGTATGCTTTCATCATAATACTTAACTGCCTGATCATATTGCAACTTTGCCGCACAAACTACTCCTAAGTTATTTAGTGTATCAGCAACAATTGGGTGAAATTCGTTTTGATAAACATATTTATAAATTTTAAGACTTTTTTCATAACACTTGATGGTCTGATCATATTGTCCTTTGGCACGATAAGTTATTCCTAAATTGTTTAAACAATCAGCAACACGAGGGTGTGGTTCATCTTTGTAAATAAGCTTGTAAATCTTTACACTTTTCTCAAAATATTTAATTGCTTTATCAAAATTTTGTTTTTGTTTACATACTAATCCTACATTATTTAAAGAAACAGCAATACCTTGGTGAGGTTTATTTTGATAAACTAACTTCATAATCTTCAAACTTTCTTTAAATTTTTCTAATGCCTGATCGTATTGACCTTTTTTTCTATACGCTTCTCCTAAGTTATTTAAACAAAAGCCAACACTTTGGTGAGGTTCATTTTTGTATATGAATTTGTAAATTTTCAGACTCTTGCTGTAACATTCAATTGCCTCATTATAAAGGTTTTTAAAATAATATGCCACCCCTAAATTATTTATAGACTCTCCGCTAAATAAAGAAATATGAGGTTCATCTTGGTATACCAATTTTACGCTTTTAGAACAATTCTCAAAATGCTTAATAGCCTGATCGTAATTACCAATACTTAGATATAAACGTCCTAAGATTTCCCATATTTCCCATTTATTTTGACTATATGGATCATCTAACGCTTTCTTTAAATTGCTCTCGGCATTCTTATATTGCGCTAATCTAAAGTAAATAAAACCTTTTGTAGTACAATCATCTTTGTAAAAATTGTTGTTCTTAAAAAAAGATTGTTTGCATGTTTCGTCTAATGTTTGATATTTGTTGCAAAAATCTTTTATCATTTCATGAAAGGGCAACGCTGTATAAAAATATTGAAACAACTCGCCGTGTTCTTCTAAATCTGCTTTAGCTAAACAAAATATCTGTTTAGATCTCTCTTTAAGTTCAGATTCAGTTTTAGCTGGTCTGACAAATATTGACATATCGTCTTTCTGTGCTTTGTGATGAGAATAAGTTTTTAATCTGATGGAAGTAGCAAAAGATATAGTATATTTTAGATTAAGTGTTGCCTGTGAATTAATAACTTTTTTAGCACCTAATTTATCTAAAATTTCCCATGCACTATCTCCTTCAATACCATAATACAAACCAAGATTATATATCATGCGATCAGGTAACCGATAGACTTCTTGTTTTACGTCAAATAATTGACCTTCTGTATCAAAAAAGTTAGGTTGAAACTTATGTATATCACCTTCAAAGTTAGTTTCTTTTGGTTTTAGATATTGAGTTTTATGAAGATAATCTATCTCTAACATACCTTCATTGAGTATTTTAATGGCTCTTAACTCACAGTTTAAACTATTTTTTTCGTTTTCACGGCTATGCAAAAACTCTGTAACTTTATTTTTATAAGTTTCTACAAGTTTATTATCTCCATAAACATAACATACATTTTGCAATATGTATGGCAAGTTTTTATCAATATGACTTGCCCAATTTTTTATATCATATACATAACTCAGCATCATATCAATTGGTTGTATTAAATGATAAATTTTATCGCCCTCTATTCTTCCGAGTGGTGTTTTCCCTCCTAAATCTAAATTAACTGCTACATTTACAAGATGACTAAGATCTAAACCATATTTACTTGTAGGAATAATGCTTTCTCCTAAATTGATAATCTTGAAGTTTACTAAGTGGCTTAAGTTCTTAAAATACTCTTTTTTTTTGAGATCGTCACTTTGTTTATAGTCATCATTCTCTGTCAAAATAGCGAATTCAAAATCTGAATATGGTGTCATTTGCTTAAGTGCCATTGAACCAAGTCCTATTACTGCATATTCACACGGCCTTGTTACTGCCATTTGTTGTTCACTATCGTAAAATAATTTTTTTAAAAACCTTTTCATTGCCTCAGCTATGTTTTCATAACATGCTCTAACAACATCTACATAGAGCTTTTGATATTTTAGTTTTTCTTCTTCATTATTCATATTAATCTGTTCACGTTTAGACTCTAACTCTTTTATTACTTGTGTAGTTTTGCCTCTAAATATCGATAATAGATTTTTATTATTCTCTGCTTCCACTTGTATATTTTGCATTTTTTGTTGGTCGCCACCAATCGCTAAAAATAACAGCTTTTGTATATGGGCTAACTGATGATATGGATTTATATGATGTTGTTTTATAAATTTGTTTTTATCTTCAATACTTATTACTTTCTCATTAAGTTTCTCATCTAGTATTGTAATGACATATTGGTGAAATACTGCAGCCTCGGTGTAATATTTTAGCTCGCTGCTAAAATCTCCTAAAAAAGAAGTTAAATGCCCCATATCATTCATAATTATTGCTAAGTCCTTTAATTCTTCTGCAGATTTCTTATAAGCAAGTTCGTGAATTAAGTTCTTATATTGTTCTTTCTCTATCTGTTTTAGACGATCAATTTTGAATAAGTTGTTTTCACTTGAATTTACTATTTGTTCCACTTTTTCTTTGATTTTTGCTGCTGCAACTTTTGAAACATATGTTTTTTCGCTGATAGATTTTGCCATTAACACGTTTGCCATTTTTAAACACAATAAATTGAAAAAATTTGTCAATACTCAAGATGTACGCTTTGTAGCGCAAGTAAAATATAGACACAACTTGATTGCTCCTTCATTCGAAAAAATTCGCAATACATTATGATTTTTTCATCACCTTCAAAATAGACAAAAAAGCGTTGAGATTCTAAATTTTTTAAAAAGCGCTGTCAAAGTATTTAATTTAAAAAAGATTTTTAAATCATTTTATCAAGTGATAAAATATCTTAATAAATTAAATGTGATAAATTAATAACTCTTTTTACTTGAGAAAATAATACTGCTGAACCAACAATGACAACAAAATATTGCAATGACGTAACTTTTTTCTGTTGAGTTATTTTAATTTGCTCAAAAACAGTATAATCTTTTATTGTAATACAGGATCTAATTCATTTTGATGCGTTTTTTAATGCAGAGCTTTATAAACGAATGCAAAAGTATTGCTGATGATAAAACCAATAGTAGTTGGGTAGGGTGTCCCAGCTGCCCCCACCCTCTTTAAATATCAAAATTTGGTCGTGGACAGCTATTTAAGCTTTGGTTACGGGATTTGGCCTAAAAATAACGGCTATTAATTTTTTCTGCAATCACATTTGAGTTAGCAAAAGCAACATGAACTTTGATACTGTGAAAAAGAGACATTTTCATGATAAAAATTTTTCTTGTTTATTATGTTTATTTTATATTCTTTTAGTATTGTTATTTAACTGTAAAAGAGTGTAGCCGTTGTCAAAAATCTGGTCAAATACTTTCAATATCCAAACCTTTACATAAAGGCGAGTTTCCACTCATCCATTTTTTTACGGGAACGGGAAAGGGACGGGAAAAATAATCACTTGGGCACGCGTAGTATAAGTTTTAATATGTCCGAAGGAAAACTACGCATGCTCACGTGATTATTTTTCCCTTTCCTATCCCGTTCCCGTGAAAAAACGGATGAGTGGAAACTCACATTAAAGGTAAACTTGAATAGTAATCTTAACATAAAAATGTGTAATGAATTAATTTTTAAATAATTATTAAAATAATAATTAAAAAAATAAAATAATTAAATGTATAAAAAATTAATTTACTTGAAATGTATGATAATGCTACTTGATGTAGCATTTTATTTAATGTTTGTCTAAAAAGTTTATCTGTCAAAGGTTAAAATAGTCTAGTCAAGTGATTTAAAAATGAAATAAATTTGAAAAAAATGCCATAAAAAGGAAACAGTATGAAATGAAATGTATCACATTATTATTTCGAAGATATTGAAATTTTATTTACAATGAATTACCTTATTTATAAAATAATTGCATTTATAAAAATTAATTATATTTATTATACAATTATTTTTTTATTTATGTTTATTTATAAAAATTACATTTATTTTAATAATATTTATAATGACATTATAATAATAATTCCTGTTTTTAAATTTTAAAAATTAACAGTTTCTCTTTAGACTACACGTGTATGGGAAATAGTTGATATAGATTTTGCTAGACAGTTTGCTCAAACAAAAATGGAGAACAAATATTTTATGAGCTGCACGGATTTGTTTTCCAAATGGCCTGTTGCCTATGTATTACCTAACAAGGACACTATAACGGTTGCTAAAGCAGTTATTAATTTAGTGACAACATTTGGGTTTCCCTCAGAAATAATTACAGATAATGGAACCAAATTTTGTAACAAGTTAGCTATTTTTTATTTGTAAACTTATGTTTAAAAAGGAATAAATTTAAAAAAATTAAATAACTTAAGCTTCTAAAAAATTCTTTTGGTAATTTTTAGTTAAATGATGAAATGTATAAAATCTTGGATCTCGGAACTCAAAAAAACTGCTGTCTATCATCCGCAAACAAGTGGGCAGGATAAAAATACAAATAAATATAAAAGAGTAATTTTTGATTTGATACTTTTAGATACAGTTTTGATTTTTCCTAATGTTTAAAGTAGAGGAGGAGGAAGCAGTTAAAGATTATTATTGGTGAAAGAGATGTGTTCTGTGTTGAGGAACCACTTTTTAATGCGGCATATAAAAACTTGATATTGTACTCAGCATAACAAACTTATTGTCAAAAAAAATTAAATTAAGATTTAAAAAGATGCGCAAGGTTTCCTAACTTGCCTTCCTCTCCTATATAAAGCGATTACTTAAAATCATTTAAAAACTATTTTAAACAATGACTTTATTAAAAATTTATTTGACATTTTCTCTTATTAGAAAAATCCGAAACTAGTTGACGATAACCAAACAGTTTGCCTTTCTATCTGTAGTACCCACTACAGATAGAAAGGCAAACGTCAACAAAAGTGTCACCCTTTGAGTTAATGTTTGGGAGTCTCCCAGTAATTAAACATAGTTTTATATTCAAAATTATAAGATATCATTAATAATTCAGTTATAAAAATCAAAAGAGATTTATCATTTAAGAGATAGGCTTTATTGGAGTTGATGAAGAAGTAAATGTAGAAGTAGAAAAGAGTAAATATCGAAAACTATACTAACTTGGTTACTTAGGTAAGGCACTTCAATTCTTCGATTTAATTTGCAGTAGTTAGCATTATTTGAAGAAAAGCTATAATTATACTTATAAGTTTTAATCTATATCAATTTTAGAATATGGATATGAATAAGCTCAAATCGAGCAAAAAAAAAAAAAACAGTGATAAAAGAGCTTTAAAAAATAGTAAAGTAAAAGAAGAATCTATTAAAGTTGGCAATAAAGTTTTGCTGCTTGAAGAAGAAATAAAGGAGCTGCTTTTAAGCCGTGGTTTAAAGGACCTTATTAGTTAGTTGCCTTTTTTTTTTTTTGACAGAAGCTTCACTTTTGCAAGTAACTGCAACTATTTTTGTAACAATTGCTTCACAAATGATTTTTATCTTTTTAGAAGACTGTATTGTCATTTAACTGTATTGTCATTGGTTTGCTCAGCCAGGAAAGTTCTCTATACAATAAAAACATTCCATACACGTAAGTTAACTAAAAATTCATACTTTCAATACAATTACCTTAAAATATCTATTATAAAACATTAAAAACGGTAAATAAATCCGTATGAAACTTGAAAAACCTATTTATACAATGATACTAAATTGAAATAAAAATTAATGTTTTCTATTCAAGATATAGGGGAAAGCGGGGCAACATAGCGAACGTTTTGAAAGCCCTGAGTTATTGCAAAACTATCAGCCGTGAAGCAATAATACTTTCTCAGTATGTTTATGTTATCAAAATACTTCATTGTCTGCATGAATTTTGAGTTGGCAAATATAACAATTTGAAATAAATATTAAAATAAAAAGTTCATAAATTTGTTACCTGATCACGTGACCGGGGCAAGATGACTTATTATGCAATTTTTACCTCCAATTTTATAAAATTTTAAAAATCACCAAAAAATCTAACTAAAGTAACACAAAATAAACACAAATCGCAAAAAACTACTTCTAATGAAGTTAAACTTGAAGGACACCATCCATTATGAGAAACCGAAAGTGAGGAATTTTTTTTAAGCGCAAAAAGTAAACTTATGCGTTAAAATTGCGTTGATAATATTTCAAAAAACCAATTAGTGTTTTAAAATACAAGTTGCAAATACAGTTTCGTTTTTAATCAATTTTAAGATTTTTTGTTGAGTTGTTATATGAAAACCCATCTTGCCCCATTCGCCATGTTGCCCCGCTTTCCCCTAGCTGTTACAAAAAAAATTTGCACAATTGAAGATAGTAAAAGTTTGTGTTATTTATTGATGCAATTTCCTTAAAATAGTACCACCGTGGTTATGGTCTGACTTCATAGGAAACATTAAGAAGTAAATTATAAACCATTAGTAAATCAAAATAAAAATTGATAGAAAGAGTACTCATGATTCTTAAATCAAAAAAAAATTTTAATTGCAAAAAACTCTCTCTAGATAGAGCTGTTACAAAAAAAAGTTGCATAGTTGAAGATAGTGAAGGTATTTTATTCAACGATACCCTAAAGTTATTTAAGAGTTTTTGCATTGACCTTTTGTCAATAAATGATAAAAAAAAACACAAAAACATAGTTGTTTATATATATATATATATATATATATATATATATATATATATATATATATATATATATATATATATATATATATATATATATATATATATATATATATATATACACCTATACAGGAACTTTTTTCCAAACCATAGTTCTATTGGTTGTTAATGATGTAATAGTTTTTATTTCCGTTTACCGTTAAATTGTTTATTTTACTATATATTTTATGGACTTCAAGCAGAAACATAAATTATATTTAGTTTAAAAGAAATACAATCTAATTTAAATAAAATATATCAAATTACACTATATTTAGTTTAAATTAAAAAAAATTATGAGCAGTTTTTAAATATCATAACCGTAGTGGTCATTAAAATATGCTAAAGCTATGCACAAAAGTTTATTTAAACTCGTAATTTTAATCAAACTTTTCAGGGTTTTTTTAACTAAAAGAAAATCAGGAAAATGGATTTAAATAATTTTTTAATTAAAAAAAGTAATCTGTTAGCTGTACAAGTAACATTAATTAGACAAGATAGTTAAAAAAAAATAATTCAAAAACATTAAATAAATAATTATATAATCATAAAATTAGTTGCATAAAAGTTTAATCGAGTTAAGGCTTAGAACACAAAAATTTAAAAAAAATTACAAATTTAATATTTAAAGTGTCCTCCTTTGGCTCGATAGCAGGGAAGAACTCGTCTCAGCATTGATTCGACCAATTTTATGCACATCTCATGTGGCACTTTTTACCAGTACTCGTTCAGAAGTTGCTTCAAATGCTCAGTTATTTGAATTCTGACAAAATCAACTTTGTCGGGAATTAGTGAAAATTTGTTTCTCTCTCCTAAATTTTTCTGGTATTTTAGGGAAATATTGTAATATCTTTTTACGTTAACATATAAAAATTTAACATTTAACATAAGCATAAAAATTTCATAAATCGAAGTAAAAACTATATAGATATGTCAACTGCATAAGTCCTTTTTTCTTAAAATACTTTGCAATGGTATCTTGATAACCTTTTATTATTAATATAATAATACCCCGTCGGTACGGCCTCGGCGGGGGAGATTATTTTTGATGTGCGATTATTATTGCACACTACCTATAGGATGCAGTACATAAGAAATATAAGTTAAACGTTCAATAAGCGTACCAAATTTGATTTAATTGACTAAAGGGCATTATTTTTACATTCCATGCTGATTGGGTGTTTATAAACAAATGCAACAACCTCGTAGGCAGTTATCTCCGAGCTATAAAAATTAAAAATAATCGAATTTTGCTTAAAACGTTTTTTTTGAATAACAATTCGACGGGGCTCTAGGATTCACAATTAGTAAACTGTTTAATTTCGATATAATAATATCTATCGCCTTAATAAAGCTTCCTCGTGTGTAAAACTTTTATTGCTTTAGTCGACTAAGTTTAGTTACACTAAATATTTAGTCGATTAATTTGAGTTAACTAAAAAGTTAGTCGGGTAATTTTAGTTTGCTAAAAAGTTAGTCGGTTAATTTTAGTTAGCTAAAACGTTAGTCGACTATTTTTATTTAACTAAAACATTAGTCATTTTTAGTTAACTAAAACATTAGTAACTAAAAATTTAGTTGGGTAATTTTAGTTAACTAAAAAGTTAATCGACAATTTTTAGTTAACTAAAAAGTTAGTCGACTAATTTTAGTTAGACTAAAAATTTAGTTAAGTTTTTTAGACTAAAACTAACCTTAACTCCCATCCCTAAGAACCACGCTGAAATATTTCGCCTGCGTATGAAAATTTCAAAAATGTTCAATATTATTAAAACTCTAAAGAAGCGAACTCTGAAAGCAATTTAGTTTAAGATAAAATTTAACATTAGTATATTCAAGAGTCATCTAAATAAATATGTTTGCTAAAAATATTTTTTGCTTTTTAGTAATATACATTTTTATAATTTACATATTTAATAAATTTTTATTATCAAAGTTGTCAATTAAAAAAAAAATATTGAATTAAATGATTTTGAATTTTGAAAATTATTAACATTAGAAAATTAGTTTTCATAATTTTTAATGTTAAATTTGTAAAACTGCTACATCCCAGTGGGAAAAAAGATATCTTTAGACGAATAAAAGACGTCTTTTTTATGACTTGTTATGTCTTTTTATAATCAGCCTAAATAAAGACGTGGAAAAGACGTCTTTTAAAAAGCTGTCTTCAAAAAAGAGGTCGAAAAGACGTCAATTGGTTGTACGTCTTTATTAAGACGTATAAAATACGTCTTTTATATCGATGACTTTTAAAAAAAGAAATGAAATTTTTTTTATTTAAATGTTAAATTAAACAACACCCAGTAAAAATTTATTTTCTTTTAGGATGGGGAGAAAAATTCACTAACGTTTCCAACTGGGAAACAACTTTGATTATTTGATTAATATTATTATAATAAAAAATTATTATTTGCTCATTAACAACTTTCGTTGTTAATAAGGAAATCATTATTTGCTTAAAAAAATCAAAAATAATTATTGTCAATAGAACCTACCAAAGATGGGTTTTAACCCACAGTATCGTAATTACGATATCTTTGTTACGTTCTGATTGGCCTGTTTTTTGTTTGCAAAATACTTTTATAAAACTTTTTTTTATGTGAAACGTTTTTGAATTAATTTAATTAAAAATTTACAATTTAATTAAAAATTAACTATTTTCAGTACGCGGGTTTATTTTATAATTTATATAATAAAGTAATATATTATGTAAAATATACATAATATATATGCATATATATATATATATATATATATATATATATATATATATATATATATATATATATATAGTATAGTGTTGTGTGTTGCAATGATATCGCCAGTTTTTATGATTTTATGTTGTTAAGTAAAGCATCATTCAGGCTAAAATAGAGCTTTGATTAATACTTTTATCCAGTTCAAATGAATAACAACTCTCAAGGTGTATTAGCTGAATTATTTTTTTGTTTTGATAGTCTTTAGTCAATAACGGATTTTTAAATTGTTATGAGTCTCCAACACCATTTCATCAAAATTCAATTAAAAAGTCGTCATAGAAGACAGAAAAATATCAATATCTGCTTTCAATAACTTGGCTTTCATAACAAATCTGAGAGGTGCAAATGTTTAGCTTTATTTAAGTACTACATAATAAAATACATCATTGTAGAGTCATATACATTTTTAGACTGTTTACCGGTTGACTCATGTTCTAATCTAACCTAGTGGGTTCAAAAAGAAAGGGCTGTGCTAGAAACATGAGGGAGTTAAAAGGATCAGCCCTTTTTGAATTAATAGTCGGTAAGTCTCATGTGTTCTACTCAGCTAATCAAGTTTCGTTTACTTTTTTGTATTTCATTCAAACAATAAACTGTTTTTTATGTTCACTCGTTTTTTAGAAGTCGTAACCAGCTCGTATAAACGGATTTCTTGACGTGATATAGTTAATTTTATTCAACAACTCCAAGAAACAGAGCTCGCTCAAAAAAAACAGATATAAAAAAATATTCTGTTGAACAATAACAACGTTTTATAAATTATTCTCCTATATTTAAACATATAAAAGATTTAGAAAATGCTTCCTCTTTTGTATTGACATCTAATAGAGGTTTTTTTCTTGGCATATTTAAATCATATAATAAGTGAAATTTGGAGTTTAAAAGAAAAAGGTGCAATACCTATAATAAAGTGGAAAGTTATAAAATATAAACCTTACAAACCAGAAACAATAGCATGCAACCTTTGTCTTCATAAGAAATTAGATATTTTATCTTTTAATGGAAACAACCGGCTTAATAAAAAAGACAAAATAATATCTAAATGTCGACATTTAAATAAATTCCTGTTATGTTTGACCACCTAAAAGAAAAATTAAAATTAGGTAAAACTACTTTTTACAAAGAAAAGGACCATTTCAATTTGTTGCCTCCAAGATAAGTTTTCATCTATCCTGACTCCTAAAAATGTGTAACTTTTTTTCTTTTTAAGAATGTGCTGTCAATAAATAGGTCAAGATATTTTAAATTTTCATTTTTTTGAGAAGTTAGATAAAAAAGTATCTATTTTGTTTTACCGGTATTTAAAGACAATCTATTTTTTTTGAGCTAATATGAAGTTTCTTTTAGTTCGCAAGTTGTTTTATCACAAGTAGCCTTTTCATCTGTCGTGGCCTTCTGAGCCTTGGGGAGGTGAATTACAAAAAAAAAAAAAAAAAAAAAAAAATTGTGATCTAGATCACAATATATTATTAGAGAGCATCCATAAAGTACGTAAATAGTGAAATTTCAAATCACAGTAACTTTTGAACCGGTATGAATTTTAGTCTCAAATATTCGGGATTTTTTTATTAAACAATTTAAAGATATCCCTGACATTTTTTAAAAATTTAATAACTCAACTCTTTCAGGTTGCTGATTTTGCCTCATTCTTATAATAAAACGAGTCTTAAATAAAACGAGTCTTAAATAGTATTTTATTGTATTATACTAAATTATTTAAATCATATAATAAGTGTTGGTTTTTTTAATTAACTATGATTTTTAATAGAGCAAACAAATAGCTAAAACAAAAATTGTTTTTATTTCTAGTTATTAATAATTATTCTTATAATGAATAAAAATTAAGTTCGATTGTCGTCCTAATTATTAGTAATCAAAAAAAGATAAATATAAGAGTTTTATAACTTTTTTTTTTTAGAGATTTTAAAAATAAATATTTTGTTCTGTTGTGTGAACTGATAGCCACGACTCCCAAACAAAAATATTGACTTTAAAGTTTTAATTTTTTTGTGTCAATACGCAATACTATTTAGACGCCACGCCCATCTATTTCTAAAACAGATATAGAGGGGTTCTTTAGCACCTCAAGTTTGAAGAAACTTTATTGATTACTTTCCCCCTGACTTCCTCAGTTGTTAAGTTAATTTGCCGCTATTTTGCATAGCTCCTAACTTATCTTTATTGCATTGTTTTATTTCTCTCGTGTACTGTGTTTCTAACCAAATTCTTGCGAACTGTTTTTAAAACCTTAACAGCTTTAAATAGTTAAATAATAAGTTCAAATATTTATTTGCTTGTTTAAGGTATTACTTTTTTTAATTTATATTTATAGACTTTTAATTTAAAAGAAAATCTTCGTATGCTAAATTTAATTCAAAAAATATCTCAGTTCCGAATTCATGGTATATAGTTTAACTAAAAGATATATACTTTTTTACTATTTAAAGTAAGTAAATTTCTATTAAATACTTTAATACTATTCTTTAGTGTAAAAAACTGAAAATGACCAAAAATTGCTACTTCCAAGCTTTAATGCTGCTTTTAGCGTAAGATATAGGCAATCATAGTTTTTTTCATCTTTTTAATGAGTAAATCAAAGAAACTAGAACCTACTTAAAAAAGGAAATAGCATGTTAGTTGCCGGAATACTTAATTTGAAATTAAAATTTGACAAATTAAAAAAGAATATAGTTCCAATACTTATATAATAGAAATCGCATTAATGCAATAAAAATGACGCCACTGGGGAGGGGGCAGGGGGAGCACGGCCTACTTTATTTCGATAGAACATTAAAAAAAATTATTATAGAGAATTTTTTTTACTCTGAAAAATGTGTCCCCCACTTCAAAACCCATGCCGTTGACACTTCAAATTTGAGCGTAATTGTCAACCATCCCTGGTTGACAATTATGCTCAAATTTGATATAACTTTAAATAGTCAATGGTGTTATCACTAGTTAACAGTTAATGTGTTATTTGTTTAAAGGTGTATAACTTACACTCTATAAAACGGTAGTTAACACATTTTTTGTATCCTTTTAATGCACCTTTTTTTTTTTTTTTGCCACAAACTCATAAATATTTTTACATTTTTTTATTTTTATGAACATAAGTTTTATCAGCTGTCCCATTGCATGGTTTAAAGTCTAGTCTAAAAGTTCAAGCTATTTAAAAGCATATGACAATAAGCCAATAAGCTTAAGACTTTAAGACCATAACTTGTTTCCTGAATAGGTAAAAATTAATAATAAAAACGTGCATGTATATATGTATGTATGTATGTATGTATGTATGTATGTATGTATGTATGTATGTATGTATGTATGTATGTATGTATGTAAAAGTATAAAATTTTATATTTATTATTTAGGTAATGATTAATTTGCGATTAACATGTTCATCTTAAAATCTGTAATAATACTCTTACTCGCGTTTTGCAAATTATTCGCACTAGGTAAAAATTTTTTTTTTATGAATTTTACTCTCTGGAAAATTTCTTACAGTTTACAAAAAAAGTAAAAACTCTTTTATTGTTTACAGTCACTGATTCAACAGACACGCCTGAAGAGGTGGTCTTTCCAATTCGCCATCATAAAACTCGATTGAAGAATGATTTAAAGACTTTAAACGGGGTAACAAGTTTAATATAGTAGTATCCTTTTATTTTATTTTACTTTTTGTCCTTTATTACAACTATTACAACTATATTACAACTTTCTGATTACATAAAGAAGATTTGTTAACAATGTATTTATACAAATAAAAAAAAAAAAGCACTTTCTTGATCACATAGATAAAAAAAAAAAAAAAAAACACTTTCTTGATCACTTAGATAAAAAGCAAACAAACTTGAGTAACACTATTAAAATGCAGAAAACTTGCAGAATACCAAATTTTTTTATCATTAATATATTAAAAGATCAAAAGTATTTAAAATTTATTTGTATATGAAGAAAAATAGGGAAAAATTGTTCACAAAGAATAGTTTTACAAAAAGAGCGTAAAAAATTAATTTAGATAAAGTTAGCAAGTAAATTCCTGAGCAAATTGTTGACCATTTAAAATAGAGCAATTTTAAAACGGTCAACAATAGTTTCGTATAAAGTCTCAAATAAGGTACTGTTCGTGCTCAATAAATATTTATACTCTGGCTTTCGTTTATAAAGACCAATAAAATTATATATATATATATATATATATATATATATATATATATATATATATATATATATATATATATATATATATATATATACATATATATATAAATATATATATATATATATATATATATATATATATATATATATATATATATATATATATATATATATATATATATATATATATATATATATATATATAATTTTATATACATTATAAAGTATGTATACAAAAATTGTTTATGTATACATTTTTTTTTATATAGAAAGTATTGATATTGCAAGTGAAGTAGACAGATAAAGACCATGGTCTTTATCTGTCTACTTCACTTGCTTCTCTTGATTTAAATACAGATCTTACTATAGCCAAGGCCGTCCCGAAGAGATTTTTATTAGGGGAAGGGGGAATGACGTACAAGTGTTTTGCCAACTTGAGTAAAAATTTTTTTATCCGACTAGCTTCCCAGTAAGCACAAAGACGTTTAAAAGACGTTTTAAAGATGTCTTTAAGGAGGTCTAAAAAGCGCACTTGTAGACGTCCAGATCATAAGGCTAAAAGACGTCTAAATGAAGACGTCTTTATAACGAGTTTTAGACGTATTTTAGACGTTTTTTTCAAGATGAATTTAAGTACATGACGTAACATTTTCGCGTAGTATGTGGTATTTATTCATTGTATTTATAAAATCATATATTGTTATACTTTCGTATATACAAAACATACATAGGAACCAGCAATCAAAATAATATTGCTGTGATCACCACAAACGGTCGATGCATCAAGGATGAAAATAATATATAACAAAAACAAATACATATTGTATTGAAGTTTATTCTCCTCGGGCGTTTGCCCTGCAGAGTATTAATAATGTTTACAGCAGTTAAAAAATTACAAGGCGGTCTACTGTTCCACTATTAAAACACATAAAGACAGACTCCCAGGGGGCTCACGTTTTAAATAAATATAAAACCCACTAATTAAAAAATCGAAAAAACGAAAACGAAAAAAGCGAAAACTTAAAAAATCGAAGAATTGAAAACGAAAAACTAAAAAATTAATAATTTTTTTTAAAAGATATATCTGGGCATTTCAAATTATAAGAGCTTTATTATTAATTTCTATGTTAAAATTATTTTCTCCGCTCCAGATATTTTTGCATTCTTGTAGAAAAGAGATCTTTTTATTATTACTTATAGAAATCTGGAATTCTTCAGACAAAATTCTTTTAATTTTGCCTTTGAATTCTAACATGAGCGTCCTTCTGGGGTAAATTTTTTTTTCGTGGAACGACCTCATTCGGTTGCAATATATTTTATATATAAGTTCGTTAATAATTAGTTTTCCGATATAAAATTTATTTACAAAAGTTGACGAAAAAAAAAGAAGTGATTTGAAAGAGTTTTTAAGAGGTGGTTGGTGTGGGTATATTTTGTTAACGAGAGCTAGGGTGTATTTGATTAAAGGTTGAACCTTTTCACATTTAAATATCATGTGTTGTATGTTTTCTTGGTTTTTCATGCATTGTGGGCAGAGATCTACTACTATATAGCCTCTTTTTTTAAAAAATGTATTAGTGGGTAGTGCAAAGTGTATTAGTTTGTACTTTATTTCGTCAGCTTTGTTGTTGCTATTGTTTTTGTGAATGTTTATAAACAGTTGCGACCATTCTTTTGTCGAGGTCTCATTCATGCTGCTGAAGATGTCTTTCCATCTGTAAAATTTGTTGGGTGTGTTTATATGGTTATTGGTTAGAGAGGTTTGGTAGATTGTTTTTGGGGTTAGGTCGATGAATGGTATTCGAGTGTTATTTTTGTTAGTTATGTACAGCAGTGTTTTGTTGTGGTTGAAGCTTTGACTTTGGGAGTTTATTATGTTTTTCCATTGGGGTGGTAGCGACTTTATTATTGTTGTTAGTAGGTGTTGTTTGATTCCGATATCTTGGCTTTCTAGAAAGCCCTGGACAAAGACTTTTGCTATGTCTCCTGGCTTAATTATATTGTTGTTTATGGATTCTGAGGTGGGTTTCATAGTTTGATTTCTGTTGTGAATGTAAGGGTTGAAAAATATTGGTTGGATTAGTGTTTCTTCGATAGTGAGGTTCTTATGGTTGTTGTGTTTTAGGTAAAAGTTGTTCCAATTTTTCATTGTTTGTTGGTAGTATGGAGGTAGAGTTTTCAGAGATTCATGTGAGTGTGAAGTGAGGAAGACAAGGTTTCCTTGGTTTGCGTTTCGGTATTGGTTTAGGATGTAGGAGGCCGAGTCTTTCCAGGCGCCGTTTTTGTTTTCATTATGTAGCTTTGATATCCACCTCATCTGTAAAGATTCTAGTTTTTTTTTTACATCAATAATATTTAAACCTCCCTGGTCTACCGCAAGTTTTGAAATTTGTCTAGGGGTTCTCACGGTGCTGTTGTTCCAGAGAAAACTTTCTATTTTACGTTCAATTGTTTTGATTTTTTTGTCAGAGGGAATCGGTATTGTGAAGGCTAAGTGCCACAAACTGCTTAATAGGGTTTGGTTTATAATGATAGCTTTTCCTTTTATGGATAAGTTGAAACGTTTCCAGCTATCTATTTTTTTACTAATGGTCTTAATGTTTTCATCCCATTGACGGTTTATGTATTTACTAGTATTTGAGAAGGTTATACCTAGGCTCTGTAGAGTGTTGTTGTCCCAGGAAAAATTGAGGAAATTTTCTTTTATTCGAGATCTGTTCATTCCGAGCCACAGGCCTTGGCATTTTGTAGTGTTTAGTTTGGCTCCTGTGGCTAGTTTGTATACATTTAGGGCGTTGTCTAGAGCTTTTAGAGAGTTGTCTGATGAGAGGTAGAAATTTGTATCGTCAGCGTATTGTTGGAGCTTTGTTTCTTTGTTGTTGAGAGTTATTCCCCTTATTTCGGGATTTTTACGGATGTATCCCGCAAAAATCTCGGCTTGGAGAATGTACAGCGTCATTGAAAGAGGACATCCTTGTCGTACTCCCCTATGTATGTCAATTTTTTCCGACAGAAAACCGTTTATTTTTAGATGTGAGCTTATGTCATAGTATAGTGTTTTTATAATGTTTATAAATTGCACGCTAAAACCGAAATGAAATAGGCACTCATATAAAAAATTCCTGTCAACGCGATCGAAGGCTTTGGTTTGATCGATGGATACGATGGAGGCATCCAAGTTGTTTTTGTTGGCGATGTAAATAATGTCTCTTGTGTATGCTAAGTTTTCGTATATGGATCTGTGGGGGATGCACGCGGTTTGATCTTCTTTGATGATGGACGGTAGGATATTTGTTAGTCGGTTTGAGATTATTTTGGTAAGTATTTTGTAGTCGGTGTTAAGAAGTGATATGGGTCGCCAGTTTGAGATGTCTGCTTTATCCCCTTTTTTGTAGAGGCAAGTTATTATGGCTTGTTTTTGGGTTTCCGACATTTCGTTTTTCTTTATTATATTGTTTAGGACATTAACTAAACTTTCTCCTAAAATATTAATGTTAGATTTATAGAATTCTACGGATAGTCCGTCTTTGCCGGGTGATTTGTTATTTTTCATTGTTTTTATAGCATTTTTTACTTCGCTTAAATCAATTGGTTTATCGAGTGATTGTTTTTGTTGTTCGGAAATTTTATTTATGTCTGTGTGTTCGAGTAGATATTTTTGCTGCGTGACGTCGTTTGCGCAGTTTTTGTAAAGGTTTTTGTAAAATATTTCAAAAGTTTTAGTGATGTCAGCAGTATTATTTTTATCGTTTCCGTTCTTATCTTTGATATTGATTATTACTTGTTTTGATATTTTTGCTTTTTCAAGTTGAAAAAAGAAATTGCTGCATTTTTCGCCGTGCGTCCTCCATTTTATTTTAGCCCTTATTTTTGCGCCGTTTAATTTGTTTATCTCGAATTTTTGTAGCTTTATTATAAGGTTCTCGCTAAGATGTTTCATCTTTGGATTGAATGGCGCTTTTTTAAGAGAGTTTTTTAGCTGTTTTTTAAGTTTGTATTCTTCTTGACGGCTCTTTTTTGCCTCCGTTTTACTAAAGTTTTTAGAAAAATTTTTGATTTCTTCCTTAAGAGAATCCCACTCAGATGTTTTATTTTCGGACTGATTGATTTTTTGGCTAGCTATATTTATAATTTTTGTTAGTTTTTCGTTGTAATTTTCGTTATTTAGGATTTTATTGTTCAGGATCCATAGTTCTTTTCCTGTCTAAATTTTTGAGAGTAATGGTGGCGCATATTGAATTATGGTGGTCGGAAAATGTCATCGGCTCGTGCTCTATATTTATTAACTGTCGCATGTGTTTGCTGATATATAAGCGATCTAGACGGGAGAATGTGGTGTTATTAGTGGATTTATATGTATATTCTTTTGCGCGAGGGTTAAATTTTTTCCACGTGTCTTCTAAGTTAAGCTCTTTTAATAATACTTTAAAAGCTTCAATTGAGAGACATTCTCTCCGATTTATTTGTGGGTG